GCAAAAATACACCAAATTAAGGAATCCATCCACTGTAACCCAGGTCTGGGAGAACAACTAGGTCTTCAAAGTCTCCAGGAATGTCAACAGGGTTGGAGTCCCATGTATTTTGGGAGGGATTGCATGCTCAAAAGGCAGGTATTATAACTGAGATATTAAATTTATGTATAATGAGTAATACAAAGATGATATAATATTTCTGTTTCCCCTAAAATAAATCATCAGTTTGTTTTACACAATTATTGCATGGAGGTCTGCTAGATTAAATCTAATAGCTGTAGATTGTAGCTGTAGATACAGGCAGGTCTGGTGATCACATTAGTTAAAGTGAATATTCCAAAGATTTTCAATATTGCATCTGAGAACAAGGGGAAAATCCCTCTTTATTTCTTACAATGGACAAGTTTGTTATTTATTTCTATATGTTATTTGTTATTTGAAGTTAGAATGAAGAGTCCAAATAACAATTTGGGAACCCTCTTTTCTATAGATATCCTTTTTATTAACGCCACTGGACATTTCCTCAAAATACATTTCCATATACACTTCTGTACTTCCCTTGAGGTAACCTGAAAATTCTTATTCCCTGCCATTTGTTTGATATTTCTTTCCATTCATCCACTTACTTACTATAACAGCTGCATCTTATTTTCATGATCCCATGTCTCTTTGCTTCATTTTAACTCTTGCTTTCATTTGAGCTTACTTTAGTTATTCAGCAAAGACAATATTACTAACCACAGTTTTTAATAAAAAATATTTCTGCTGAAGTTTTGCATACCAGTTGGATTTTTAAAAAATGATACAAAAGGCCTACAAGCCCCAAACAGGATATTAATAGCAGGTGAAGATACCTGTGATTCACTATTTGTTATTGCTTTCCATCAGTCTCTTTCATTGATATGTAAGAGAATGAGTATTAAATCAGTAGTCAGTCAAACCAAATTGAAATATATCTGTTTCTCAAAGCAAAACAGACTGAAACAGGGAATATAAGGAGATGAAGGAGTGGGTCCACATTAAAAAACTGAAGAAAAAGGCATGTGATTGGAAAAAAATTGAGGAACTAAGATAGAAATGTAAGAACTAATGTGTTCCCTTTTCCTTTAGTGGTTTTCCGATTATTTATGATAACTGAAAAATGTACTAATTGTGATACCAGTACACAAAAAATATAGCACTGTCTTTTGACTAAGTTTTATGTAGCACTATAGAAAAATAGCAAGTTTCTATCCAATGAATTTGCACTTCTTGTCTACCATTGCTATCAATATAACAAATGGAGTGATGCAATTGTACTATGTGGTAGTAGTGGCATTATATATAAATGAGGAACATTTATTAAATAAAGAATGAAATAGTATACATTCTTACTGACTTACTAGGAAATCCTATTTCTAGGAGTCTTGTTTTAACTGAAACTTTGGAACAACAATAATTTATCTTTCTTTTTACACTCAGCTTCAATTACAGCATTACTTGATTTTTTGCACAGAATAACAAGAACAACTGTTTCCCTTAAGAAAATTAAATAATTTAATTAATTATAAATTATTTGCACTAATTTTTTCCACTTCTGGAAAGTTTAGGCCAATTAATGGAATAAATTTCACGTTCATACTGAGGTACTAAATAAGTTAATGAAATATCTTACTTAGTTACTAATTAAAGAAGAAAAAGATAGGATCTTTTTAAACAGTTATTTTAAGGGTGGGGATCATGTGGCCTGGATTTGTCCAGTTTTATGCTTTTATCTAGAGTGCTTTTCCAAAAATATTAAGTTATATTTTGACCACTGTGAAGAACTTTACTTTTTTCACATCTTCTTTTTTTGATATAATTTTTATTGAATAACTTTTAACAAGATAAAAACAATGAAAATATTTCAAAGAATGAAATTAAGGAAGAATAGAAAATAAGTAAGAAAGAAAATAGGAAAAAGAAAATAAAAGATTATAAAGAAGCTTCTGGGTTTTTTGACAATGGTTACAAAGGATTTATATTTGATCCACTCTCTAAGATTACACAATAATTTCTTTCCTTCTGTATGTTACTCTTGTGTCCAAAGTACTTAGCCCATTTTATCATATATTCTTTCACTTGTTCTATTTCTTTTTTTTATTTAAAAGTTTTATAAATTTATTACAATATTTCTGTTTCAAATTTCAATATAAGTTTATACTTCATAGCTATTACACGTTCATAATTTCTACATTGTTCAATTTCATTTTCAAATTATGTCTTCTGCTGCTCCATTCCAAATGTCCTATTTTCTACCTTAAATCTTTCTCTTAACTGTACATATTAAAAACACTAAAAACTAAATCCCTCTGGAGCCAGTTGATATCTCAATGTCATCTTATATTTTCCATGTCTCTGTTTTTAAGAACTCTTGATAAGTTAACCATTTTTCTTTACCTACCTCGACTTATGACCACAATTGAGCCAAAATGTATGTTGCTATGTGAAACATTTGTTAAGTGAGTTTTGCCCCATTTTATGACCTTTCTTGCCAGTTGTTAAGTGAACCAATGCAGCTGTTAATTTAGTAACATGGTTGTTAAATGAATCTGGCTTCCCCATTGACTTTGTTTGTCAGAAGGTCACAAAAGGGGATCACATGACTCTGGGACACAGCAATTGTCATAAATATGAACCAATTGCCAAGCATCTGAATTTTGATCATGTGACTACAGGGATGCTGCAATGTTGTAAGTGTGAAAAATGGTCTTAAGTCCCTTTTTTCAGCACTGTTGTAACTTTGAATGGTCACTAAATGAACTGTTGTAAGTCGAGGATTACCTGTATTTTTTTTTCTATAAAATGCTTCTTGTAGACAGGAGATAGATGATGTCGTATCCCCCCCCCTCTGTTGAGAAAGGGCTGTTCAATTTTGAGATAGACGGCCTCTTTGACCCCTTTTTCAAACTAGCGGTCCTCTCTGTCCAAAATGTGGACTTTGCTGTTTTTTAAATGCAGATAGACTGCTGAAGCCTGCATGGCACAATATAGGAGAACAAACTCATCAGGACAAGAGTCAGCAGTCCATCTGCATTTAAAAGACAAAGGCCATTCTTTTGAAGACAGCAGAGTCCACATTTTGGACAGAGAGGATCGCTGATTTGAAAAAGGGGTCAAAGAGGTCATTTATGCCAAAACTGAACAGTCCTCTCTCAACAGAGGGGGAGGGATATGACATCATCTATATCCAGTCTATAACATAGTCCTTTCAGTAGTTCCAAGAAGGCTCTACACCTATTTGCACTACTCAGGAGACCCTAAGCACACAGATAAACCTCCAAGTGGCTCAATGACTCTCAAAAAGAATGCAAATGACCAGCTATCTGCAAGGAATATAAATCCTTCCATTCCCCACCATCCAGTCACAGCTGAAGAAGCTTCTTGGATGAGAAGTGAAATTTCTTCAAAGAAAAACAAGAAAGTCCAGTGGCCTCTTGAAAAAGCATCTTTGGACAAAGAATTTGGTAGATTTTTTTTGAAAAGTTTATAAGTGAACTTCTTCGAAAAGCACTGCTAGTCTTTGACATAGTTACAAATTCTAGGAGTGTAAAATATTGAAGAACTGAAAACATCATAAACATCAGGCGGACTGAGCCTTACCTATCATCACGAATGCTTGTACGTAAACACAAAAAGTTATAGCACCTTTTGATCATTGAAACATTAATATCGTCTTCATTTTCTTTGCATTTAATGATTCCTTCTCTTTGCCAAGATTGTAAGACCTTGGGTAATATACTGTATATTATGCTACTGACATTGCTCATTAGCCCTTCCCACAGTTTCCCATTTGGGATTAAGTATGCATGATAACTTCCTTTAATTTCTGGGAAACTAATGCATGATTTTCAAAAATTCCTCTTTCAGATATTGCTTTTTAATTTAAATTTAGAACAGAAACCCATATGTACCAGTCTTACAATTTTTATAAATATATTATTACATGATTTTAGACAAGTCTCAACTTCAGCTCTCATTATAATGATTAATATCAATTTTCAGATACAAAGCAACATATTCATGGTAGCAATTCATTTATTTTTTTGTTCTATCACACAATAGTAGAAAAAATATTCATTTTGCAGTAATATATTTTGGTAATTGCAACTTAGCTGCAGATTTAGCACTTGTGAATTCTACTCTTTGATCCCTTTGAAAAGTTGGGAGAACTACTAAAATATCCAACTAAGATCACTTCATTGCAAGCATGATGGCATACCACTGTATATCATGGAAAGTGGCTAGATTTTTTCCATACCTCTGTTGTGAAACAACGATCGCTCCAGTGGAAAATCAGAATGTTAAAATATTTGCGGCAGAATTTTAAAATAGAGTCAACCACTGTCTCTCATGACCATTAGAAATCATCAAGACTGTAATATGGATTCTACATTGCATCAAGTAGCTCACCAAAAGGTCCTCTGATGACCTTTGTGGTAAAGAATATCATATTATTAAGTGTTGGCTAGCAAATATAAAATAATACTGATATGATCTGGACTTCATTGAGCATACTAGAGTAGCCACAAATGCTTGATGGAATCTAAAACAAAAATACGAGTAACGTAAATATCTAGCTTCAAGTACAGATGGGTATAATTCCTATGTGCTGGTTTTTCAGTATAATTCTATCAGGGAAGTAGCCACATATGATTTGATATATGCCATTCTTTATAGTCATATGACAAATAAGCTATATTGTTTCTGTTGCCCAATTAGCATAATCAGAGATAAGAGGAAGAATTCTGACCTTGAGATTTATATAAATTGGATGTGTATTGCTAGAATTAACAGAATGGACTGAAATTGAAGAAACAAGCTTATTAAACAAACAGGAAATTAGTATAAGTGATAAAATATTGCTAATTATCAGAATAGGGAAAAATCTAATTAACTAATTCTAGTGGCAGGTATAATGTTTTAGTCAGTGTAATATGTAATATAATTTGGATATTAAAAAAGGAAATATTCATACTTACTGATTTGATGTCTTACATCATTTACTTTTTGTCCCAAAGATTTTGCTTCAGCAAACCTGATAAAAACAATTGAGTTTAGAATTTTTACTAATGTATAGTACAACTAGTCAACGTTTCTGTATTATTTTTACTTGTGGTTTGCCTGCGCATTAAGTTAAAGCTGAATCTACGGCAATGAATCACATTAGACCAGGGGTCTTCAAACCTGGCCCTTTTATGACTTGTGGACTTCAACTCCCAGAATTCCTCAGAGATGCATGCTATTACTGAACTATATCTTTTTCATTCTGCATTCTGATATTGTTAAAATTATTCAGTATCCTCACTCACCAAATCAAATGTTTTGTTTGTCTTTGTATTTTCCTAAAGTTATTTCTTTAAAACAAATATTTGAAGGAAGGAAGGAAGGAAGGAAGGAAGGAAGGAAGGAAGGAAGGAAGGAAATAATCAAATATCCTAAACCAGAGATAAGAAATAATAGCAATAGCAATTAGACTTATATAGTGCTTTACAGCACTCTCAGAGCAATGTACAAAGTAGAAGCATTATTTGCACATTGCCTCCAACAATCTGGGTCCTCATTTTACTGATTTTGGAAGGGTGGAAGGCTGACTCAACCTTGAGCTTTGTCAAGCTTGAACTATGGACAGTTTGCCTGCAATACTACACTTTAACCACTGCACCACCAGGGCTCTTAACATAAAGCATGATTTAGCCCAAGTCCTACTCTTTTTCAGCCCCCCCCTTTTTAAAGCAATATTAACATTTGATCTTTTCTTAGAACAAAACAATTTTTGTTTTAATTTTGCTAGCCCCCCAAAGTCATGTATTGAGATGGGTGGCCATATTAATTAATTAATTAATTAAACAAACCAACAAATATCTATTCTAAACCAACAGGTGCTAATCTCTCCCTGGTCTAAAAAAATTGGTATCTCTTAGACCGGGATGTGAGTGAATTCAGACTTTGCTGGTAAAAATGTCTTATATGACATTGCTTCTACTAGTTACATTTGGTTTCAAGATGCTTTCTAAATAACAATAACTCTGTATGTATGAGTTAAAGAAGGCAACATGTCTTTGAAGATAACTCTGACTTATATATGGACAGAGTTATATTGTTTTCTTGTTAATTATAGAGAAGTGATCTACCATTGCCTTCTTTTGGAATGTATTTTGATTTCCTGTCCAGCCTATAACACTGGAATTTCCTGGTGCCCTAGCATGCAAGCACTAACAAGATCTGATTCTTTTTTCAAGATCAGTCACGATTTGCTACTTGCTACCACTGCTGTGACTAGCTCTGCTTTTATAACCTCTCAAGTATCATGATGCTTTAATGCTATTAATAAAGTTATAATAATTAATGAGAAGAGATCCCATAAGCAATATCCTGAGGACAAATGGAATGCAGGAAAGTTGGGAACTTCAAAACCAAGCTGTTGAATGGATAAAAGCACACTATTCTGAGAAGGAAAAATGGGAGGGCACCAGGGGAAATCATTCTATATGATTAGTTTTGTTTTTTTCCCAATTTTAACTGAATTTAGAATCCAAAGGGTATATAGAAAATGGAGAGTGGGAATAATCACTAAAGAGTCATGGCAACACATAGAAGTAGCCTTTGCTTAATTATGGTAATTAGGACCAGTAACTCCATCCCTAAGTAATGTGGTAGTAAGATGCGGTTTTAAAGTGTGACATCATGTGACTATGGCATCTTGCCACAGCAGTTGTGGCTTAGGAGAATACTGCATGATTACAGTGTCCTATGGTCATGTGATCACTGTTTGCAACCTCCCACCAGCTTTCCCGATGACTTTGCTTATCAGAAGCTGGCATCGAAAGTCACAAATGGTGACGTATTCCAAGATGCTGCAACATTGCAATTTCAAGCTGGTTGCCAAGTGCCAAAATTGCAAGTATTTGACTGCAGAAACATTGAGAGAACTGCAATTACAAAGACCCATTGTCAGTCTTCATTCAGCATTGTACCTGTTATCTAACAAAATGAAATTCAATGGTGAAAAAAGTAAGGTTCTCCATTTAGGCAAAAAAACCCAAATGTACAGGTATAGTATAGGAGGTACCTTGCTCAACAGTAGCAACTGTAAGAGGGATCTCGGAGTCCTAGTGGACAATCACTTAAATATGAACCAGCAGTGTGCTACAGCTGCCCAAAAAGCCAACACAGTGCTGGGTTGCATTAACAGAGGGATAGAATCAAGATCACGTGAAGTATTAGTTTGATCTTCTTTATATTTAATTTTAATCCCATTTTTTCACTATGCTCATTGACTTTTATTACCAGACCTTGCAGATTTTTTGCATTTTGGTTATTAAATAGTATTATAAGCATGGCACAAATTATTGATGTTTCTTCCTCCAATTTTAAAATCATGCCCATCTTCTTCCAATCCAGCTTCCCTTCATATTGAGCATGTAGGATGAGTAAATGAAGGAAGAATATATTTAGCAGACATTTCATAGGACTTTAGTGCAACTTTAATAGTACCATTGAATGAGAAGTTGTTGAACTCAAACACATCAAAAGCTTTTAGGCAATTTCAGAAGATCTCAACCATCACAATATGTTTTAACACATTATGGTATTTAACTGATGTGCTACTTGTAATTTGCCTTACAGAGGTAACCTGCATCTGCATATCCAAAGTATTTTCCTCTCCCATTCTCTTTCCTCCAAGACACCCCCCCTCAAGAAAGCTTATACTTAGTAATAATATTTGTTAGTTGGAAAAGGTGTTATAAGAGACCATATTTTACCCCCACTCCCACCCCAAAAATTAAGTAGGCAGATAACACCTGACTAATATGAATGAGTTTATATCTTCAAGAACAAAGTAGCTACATGTAAGAGTCTTGAGGGAGGTTGAAAATGTCATCTTGCAGCCCTTATTGTGATCTTTAAGAAATCTTGTAAGATGGGCTTAATGCCAGGAACTGGAGTAGGGTAAATGTTGTCCCTATCTTCACAAAATGGAAAAAAAGAAGTTCCAGGTAACTAGAGACTCTTTTACTGCTACCCTGATTTACTACTTAGGCAAAATATTTGGCACAGATTTTAACCAGTCAGTTGGTGAGTATTTAGAAAAGAATGCATTGCTTGGCAGGAATCAGCATGATTCAGTCAAGAATAAATCATGCCAGACTAACCTGATCTTCTTTTTTGATAGTGTGACCAGTTTAGTTGACCACAAAAATGTTGTGGACACAGCATATTTTGACTTTAGCAAAGCATACAACTAAGTTTCCCATTACATTCTTGATAGAGAATATGGCGAAATATGCGCTCAACTATTCTACCATTACATGGGTATGTGCAGGTTGAGTCCAGTATTAACAGCTCTAAAGTTTTGATGAGATGTATCACAGGTCTCTATTTTAGGTTTTGTGCTATTAAACAAATTAATAACAGTTTATGAACTCTGCATGGACATAAAAGTAAATGAAACAGGAAATACCTTGGAGAATAGTATCAAGATTCAGGGACAAATAAAAACTCCTATTATTGGGATAAGAAAAATCAAGTATAAATATTAAGAGTATAAGATGGGAGGATCATATCTCGCAGCACCATATGCAAAAAAGATCTGCATGCCTTGATGGATCACAAGTTTGACACAGAAGAAAATAAAAAAGGAAAGGAAAGGAAAGGAAAGGAAAAGCAGTTCTAGGTTGCACCAATGAAGTACAGCATCAATGAAAATCAAAAGATGCCACTATTCTTCTCTAATCTCTGTTGGTCAAACTAGTGATTTCAAAATATTACATCCATTTCTGGGATTGCATTTTAGGAAGGTCATTAACAAACTGGAGTGGGACCAAAAGAGATTAACCAAGATAATAGGTCTGGTAAAATAACTCTAGGAGGAAGGATTATAGGTACTGGTATATTATAGGTACTGGTATATTCAGAAGAGATGATTGAGGTAAACACCACACCTATGTTCAAGTAATTGAAGGGATATCATGTAGAAAATGGGTCTAGAATTATTCAGAATTATTCTAGAATATGGGACAAGAAATAATTGTACAAGAAATTCAGGGACAAATTTCAAAATTTTACATGGGCCCTTGAGAAAATTTTCCAATATCAAGAGCTGTTCAACAACAGAACAAATTGTATCCAAAGTATGGTGGACTCTATTTTGGTGAATATATTTAAATAGAAGCTTGGGAGCAACTATCAGCAATGCTATTGCAGTGGATTCTTGCACTAGATGATCTCCAAGATTTCTTTCAATCCTTACATTCTATGGTTCTATGACACTACGTATAGAATATGTTTGTGAAAACTATTTGTGGATTTCAACTGGTTCAGAATCCAATGAATCATCTGTTGCAAAAAGCATATTACATAAATGCTTAGTTGTATTGGTAATCTATTCATTTTAAGTTTTAAAAGGCTTGAACAGGTTGGGGCCATGCGGCTTAGGAAACCTGTTGACAGTAAAACATATCTGAATGATCTTGCATCTAAAATATTATGTGTTTTATGTAGGCAACCTTTGAAGATTGTTTGGAAGCTCTAGCTGGTACAGAATACCACTAAATTACTGACCAGCATGCAAAGCAAGAGTCATATTACACCTACTCTATGATTTGTACAGCCTGTCTATTTACTGCTAAACCTATTTGATGGTTTTGATGTTGATTTGGAAGATCCTATGTTGTTTGGGTTCAAAGATTGTGAAATTTATTTCCAGTATGTCATAACTGAGCCTTTGAGATACTTGGAAGGGAATCTCTTTGTTGTTTGTTAATGGGCATCCAAGGAGGTAGTTACTCAGCAGCTTCCAAAATAGGCTAGGCATCTTTATATGCAATTCCAGTTTTATCCAGACTGGTTATTTTATTTTGGTTTTGCAGATGACCTCTTCCTATGATTTTACAGTACTTGATCATTATTTTTGATTTGTTACCAAGAAAACTACAGGGACTGGTGTCTCACTCTGTGTGTGTTCCTTGGTTAACAACCCTTCATTCTGTGATTGTTTGAACTTATGGCAGTGCTGAACAAAAGGACTTCTGACCA